AAGCATATTTCTAAATATTAGCTACATATTGTACAATTCTACAGTATCAAGTAAATGAACATTAAAATCTGATGCAATTGGGACTCAGTGAAGTGAATGTGTAAATACATGAAAAACATTTGTCTAAAGGGACATTAAAATCTGATGCAATTGGGACTCAGTGAAGTGAATGTGTAAATACATGAAAAACATTTGTCTAAAGGGGAAAAAAATCCCATCCATCTTTACTGCATATATATATATATATATATTTTTTTAATAATAGCAGACTAATGTTTTTCTGAACGTGTTATAGATAATATTACATTTAAATCTCGGGGTGGACAAATTGTGTTTTTCAATTAATAAAATCATGTACAAGTCATTCAGAATTGATTGCAAAATTGTTTATTGTATTTTCTTATTTGTAGTCTTTTTTGTTATTAGTAAGGACACTATATCTCATTAGAACTGATCTGCATGCAGTGAAAACTGCAAAATCCAGGGTGGAAGGTTTCTGAATAAATGCCCTGGAGCTCGCCTCGCTTTCCCTTCCCAGCATAACCTGGTGGATACACAAGAAGCACAATAAGAACTAGGGTTTATAGCTGACATTGAACATTTACAAACATTAAGAATAATTTCTCAGCACTGTAGGTCCATGCTAATGCCATGCAAGTGAATGGTGTCCAGAACTTTTAAACTCCAAGGGATGACAAGTAAATTTGATTTTTAGTTTTCCTTTAGACTAACAACTAGTTTATTCATCACCAATTTACACAAAACATACCAGGTGTGCAGCATTTGTAGTCAAACCCACACTCCAAACAAGTGGAGATTGAGTACATCCTCCAGAAGAGCTGTTTGTAGTGAGACGACTTATTTTTCCAGCATGTAACACCTGATGGGGAAAATAAATGAGCATAACATTTAACATTATCAATGATGTTCTTGTTATGCATTTTATTTTTTAATGTCAATATTTACTTTCTAGCCATAAGAAGTGTGCCTGATTCCTGAAATTGCCATCCCCAACTATGTCCCTGAACCTTGAGCAAGCCAATGACAGGGGCATGTAGGCAGCATCTCCTTCTTGAAGAACAACTTCAAGAAGTATGTTCTTCAGCAACACTCCTGATAACTGAAAATATAGCAACAGTTAGCACAGGCAGTTAAAAAAAATGTTAAAAAGCACATTATATAACATTATTCAACTACCTTGAAGATGAAGCATGATGGAGGGTCATCGTCTTTTAACAGCTCATCCTTAAAGAAAAATAAGTGGATTAAAATTGTATGATACACATTTTAAATCATCATTAAAATTGATTTTGCATACCTTGCTAAAAACAGAGGGCACAACTGGGGTTTGGTCTGCTAAAATGAAGTCATTTAAAATGAGCGGACCAATATTATAGTTACATAATTTGAAAGCCAGCATTGTCTGTGTATTTATTTTTATATTAAAGTTCTTACTTTCAAATGCAAGTTCAGGTTTTTTCTTCTCAGGGTGTGCAGAGCATTCTTCTTCTTCTGAAAGGATTAGAATAAAAAAAAAATCATCCATTAATTTTTAATTTGAGAAAAAAAATATCAGCAAAATATAAAAAGCTGACAATACCAGCTACAACAGCTCGCTTTCTCTTTCTCCCATGTCTTCCACAATTTGATTGTCATGGAACAAAAACAAATGAAGTAAGCAAAAGAACAAGTACAATATCAAAATTAATTGAATGCATTACATTGATCACAAATTACAGTAAGACTTTTGTAAATACAAAAAAATCCAATTAATGGTACAATCTTTTTTTTTTTTACTTCATTCACCAATGAAACATTTAAAAAAAATCTTGCCAACCCCTAATAGTATTAAGAACAGATATTAAAGGAGTTTGATAGAGCAAGTAGTGTTTACACCTGCTGATTTTTATCATCACTGAAACACTTTGCTACTCCTTTTCACTCAAAGGGTCTGCAGAATATATTTTTTATTGAAATAGTTTTATGAACGAGTCACTAAATCACTCCATTCCATGACTTTCCAAAACAGCTTACAGAGTGAACAAGATTTCTTCACTTCTTTAAGGGTTTCTTAAAAACACAACTTGTTAAAGTCCCCGTGAACCGGAAGTTGTAAACGATTTTTCTCCAGTGCTGTGACGTATTTCCAAGTGAAACGGAATATTGAACAGAGGGCAGGGTTTTACTCTAGCGCTCCTCCTCTCCATCTCTCGCTCATAGCAAACTAACAGGGAGTGGGGGGAGTGGTTAAGCGTTTCCCCACCCAAACTGTGAAACCTACGTCATCAGAAAAAGAAACCGTTCCAGACCGGAAGTAACTTTTCAGATTTTGATTAAAGATTACTAAGGTAAAACATTTTTTAAATATATATTTACTTGCACGGATTAATTGTTCACCACAAGACTAGTAATATGGGCTAACAAAGTAAATAGGTTCAATTTTGATTTCACAGGGACTTTAAAAGTACAGCAAACCTTTTCACACTTACTCTAAAGAGAAATTGTCAAGCAAGATGGCACACCACCATTTTCTTATGTTCTTCATGTTTAGCTGTGTACATAAAGTAATGAATTAGTATAATTTTAAATTATATTACAATGTATATAGCTTAAAAAAAAATACTTACTTCAGTGAAATCAAACTTCTGTCCCAGAACAACATACAGTCCATACTATAATATGCAAAGAAACACACACAAAAAAAGTTTATTGGGCAAGAGCAATTGATTTCACCAAGATGTTCCTCATTGACATATTCTGTACTTGCCATCAAGACAAACACTCCACAGTTATTTGACAGCTTTTGTCTTGCATTGTCCTAGTAATGAAATCAAACAAATTGTAATTTAAGAACTTTATACATTACAGCAGAAGCTGTAATCTTAGTCATGTGGGACTGAAAAAAAAAAAACCTTCCCACCGTAATGTCATTTAGAACAGTCTCCGACCATAGTCCTGGTGCAATTTTTTGGGCAAGCTCTCTATCAAAAAAAAAAAAAAAAAAAAGACAGAGGTATATGAACAATGAATAAAGATGAGCAAAATAATTCTCTTTAAGGAAACACCAATGCTAGCAAGGCAGTGTGTGTGGCTACCTGGCTAGATTAATGGAACTAAGAGAAATTTTGCAAGCATGGAAATTATTTTTGAACAGTTGGGTTGAAACAATTTGAATGAATGAATGAATGAACAAACAGTAAGTTAAATAAGATTAAAAAAAATGTATGGTCTAAAACTGAACTACCATACAATTTGATGTCAACATGAAATCCAAATTGACCCAGTTGTACTTTTCTTGCTGTGCGAGATTGATCTGTGCACATGTACAGAATGGATATTAGCAGAATAGAAATTATATTCACATAGATGTAATAGATATATACACAGACAAGTTTAACTCGCATCAAAAAAGTACAATAAGTTGGGATCATAGGTTGGGATTCAATTTCATGTTCACGTAAAACATAGTAACAATAATTCATTCCTTAGGTTATAATTGGAACAAAAACAAACAAGCAGTATGGTTTCAAACAGAACTACCACACTGCTGTTGTGAACATTTGAAGGACCTGTATAATTGAATGTATCTGGCATCACTTAAACCAGAGCCACAGAGCGAGTCAAGAAAGAACAGTTGTCTTTCCTTTGGCTTCATAATCTGTAAAATGTCCAAGAGCACTTTTACCTATTATCGTGCAACAAACTTTTCAATAAGACAATTTAAAATGGAGTGATCTTTTTTCAACATTTGTTCACATAAAAATATGACTTTAAATTTTAGCCTGCACCCCCCACTTTTGAGAAATCCCAAGTAATGGCATACCGGGACTAAAACAGATACAGTTCATGAACCCTTTGCACTAAATGCATATGGTCTCATTTGACTATATAACTTACAGCAATCATCCAATGGCCTCGTTCCTGAGTTAAAAGGCCTGGTTTCCAAGATGGAAGTAAAATGCCATCTTTGTTGCAAATGTCCACCTGTAAAGAATAATTTATCCACACACAAACTGTTATAAATTTTTAAAAAACACAAAAAAAGTATATACACAGAAAAATTTTTATATATATATATATACACACACATACAGAAAAATGGTCCAATGGGTTTGCAGAGAGCGGTGGTAACCAGGTCACTGAAATGTAACTGCTGGTCACCCAGATGTCAATGTTCTGTAACACAAAGTTGATTTTACAATATTTACACAATGTTTTTGTTTGTTTTGTAATTTACATATTATACTGTTGATATGTAGTGCATTGGTAGTAAATACTACAATACCCTTATGGACCCAATTTGTGCAATAACCCTTAGACAGGAATTCAGAATCTGCATAAGAGGCACAAAAATAAAATCCATGATAATGTAAATTACACATCCAACACATGAGTGCATGTTACTCGATTATCTTACCATGGCCTCTACATAATTCTGTAGTCCTAATGTCAAGAAGTCCTCACGGGTAAGTGTTTCACCATAAACGCATACAATATGCTCCTTAGGATCCATGGCCTCATCCAGTACATATGAAACCTACAAATTAAAATGAATAAAAACAACCTTCAACAACAAACAACAAAATCTTCATATTAACTACAATTCTATTTTCTATAGGCCTTTCATTATTATTGTTAAATCTCAATTGCTTGATAATTTATATAATTAACATACTGAATATAATTGTATATCTCAACTGTTAAACTGCTAAGTGTAAAATTATGAGACATAACGGTATGATTTTCATTAAATCTGCTCTGAACTTTTGCACAATATTATAAAGCTGGCTTGACTTGATACCTTGTCCTGTAGTTCTATGCTCAATGGATGTTGCCAACACCTGGAGCTAGCACTCACGTTCTGCAGTTTAGTAATAGCCTCATCTTTTTGTAGAACCTCAATATTGTCAGTGTTTGAGATATCTTGAGATAAACCTAAAAGGAAAAATAATAATAATTGTAATACACATGCTCATGCAAAAAAAGTACAAACACAGTTACAAACACAGACATGTTACCTATAATAAGTTGCCCATTCTTGTTCATGAAGGTTTGTCTGGTTCCCATTAACTTCTGTATTTTCTCCAGTCTTGATCTGTTAAGCTGGGTGTTGTGATGGTGGACTATATTACGAATTAGAAAGATCTGAGAGCTGGGTGCCATCATGTTGAGAAAGTAGTTGTTTTTCTCCATTTGAGCAAAGAATTGTTCTACTACTTGGGTATTAACCTTCCCAGCCAGTTCTGGCACCAGAGCAGTTCTTCTTAAAAAATCCTTGGGATCTTTTGCATTCGTTTCATGCAGTTTATCATACAGTACATAATGCTCTGAACTCCCTGTTGTAGGATGCCCATTGACATCAGGGGGATTTCGCGGCTCTGTTAACCAGGGAAGATTAACCTTGACCTTGCCCTCTTTGGCTAAAGAAATGTTTTCTTCTGTAGGGCTAAGTAATCTTCCCTCATGTGGAGCAAATGGCAACCCCAACGGGTCCCTCAGATTCCCATGTGTTGCCAGACCTCTGGCAAAATCATAAATGGTAACATTTGGCAAATGTTGCCAGGACAGTAAAATATCAACATAGTCTCTTGGACTTTCCGCTCTCATGTTGAATTTCAGGCTGTATACCACTCCACATGGGCACATAACTGCAGACCAGCCTCCTAAAAGCATCAATTAAAAAAAAATTAATTTTTTAAATTCAATTTAAAAACAAAACCATAATCAGAGTATGGTTCCTTACCTGATGCACCCCAGATTTTCTCAAAAATCTTATCATAAGTACTCCTACTCCTAATTTCATTATGAAGCCTGAGGATAAGGTCTGTTTTTGAACCACAGGGATCAACCCCACAAGCTTTGCACAGTTTCTTGACATCATCAACCTGTAAAGTAGAAACAAAAACAACAAAAAAAGTAAAACTATGATGCATATAATAATTATTCATTACATTTATATAGCGCCTTTCTGGACACTCAAAGCGCTTCACATAGAGGGGGGAATCTCATCAACCACCACAAATGTGCAGCATCCACCTGGATGATGCGACGGCAGCCATATTGCGCCAGGACGCTCACCACACACCAGATTACTGGTGGAGAGGAGACAGAGTGATGATTGGTATGGGGATGATTAGGAGGCCATGATGGACAGAGGCCACTGGGCAAATTTGGCCAGGATGCCGGGGTTACACCCCTACTCTTTCCAAAGACATCCTGGGATTTTTTATGACCACAGAGAGTCAGGACCTCGGTTTAACGTCTCATCCGAAGGACGGTGCTCTTTGACAGTATAGCGTCCTCATTACTATACTGGGGTGTTAGGACCCACACAGGCCACAGGGTGAGCACCCCTACTGGCCTCACTAACACCTCTTCCAGCAGCAACCTGCTTAGCTTCAGTGGGCTACCAGTACTGGGCTACAGGGTGATATGGCTGCTGGCTATTCACACAGACAACACATATTACAGATAATCCTGACCTTCATTTTCATGACTTCCTCGAGAAGTCTGTCTTCAGTAATGTCTAGCTCTGCCTGCTCTTTTGTTTTTGCTGGGCGGTGTACTTTTTCCCACTCTGTGTTTAAAACCACATCAGATTTTCGAGTTTCTGGTCCAATCCACGGTGCCCAAAAACCAAAGGTTGGCTTGACAACGAATGGATTCTCCTCTCCAACTACATGATAAAACATTTAAATGTATGTTGCTTTAGTTTGTTAATCAATCATTCAATAGAGGCAGTACAATTTACTCCAGTGACAAAGAAAAAAAAAAACATGTCTTACCCTTCACAAACCCAAGGGAAATAATATTCAAGGACAGAGACTCCCAGAAGTCTCTCACATTAACTTCCCCAGTATACTCAGTTGGATCAGGTACCTCACTCACTGCAAAAGGAAACCAACATTCTTTGTTCCTCACAATAGAAACAAAGCTTTACTTTGTATGTTGTCATACCTGGCATACTGAAAACTCCCTTTTTATGAAGATCCATAATAACCACGGGAGGATGAGAGCCACAATTGATGCATGCATATTTGTAGTCATGTTGCACCAATGCTTCAAAATGTAGGTAACCATGAAACAGATGGTTATGTGAAGGAAGCTTTAAACCAGATGCAAGTTCCATTGCTTTGAAAACTCTGCCTGCTGCATTATGAGTCTACAGACAAATATAAAAATGTTATACTTTGTGCAGGTATTGTTACTTAGTAACAATAAGTAGTAATTAGGACTGTGGGACGGTATAATAAACAATATTTTAAAAAGACAGAAAAAGAGCAACAATTTTTAGGAATAAAGGCATTTTTAAAATGTACAGGGACCATACCTGGAGTGACGCCCTTAAATACAAACACAAGTGGAAACCCATGAGAATATGATTGTTAAAGTTGTGGATTCCATGTTCCCAGTCTTGGTAACGGTACTCCATTCCACATCTTAGACATTTCCTTAAGTATGTGCTTATTCCTGAAAGGAATAAATAGATTAGACACATAGACGTGAATATAACAGCATGCTGTAATATATTTTTTTTTTATAACACTTACCTTCATAGACACATGTCAGTGTCACAATCTTAGCTTTTGCTGTGACAAGGATGGGGTCACTTAGAGGCAAGTTATAACCACATTCAGTGCAGAACTTTTCTGATGGCACAATATGCTTTGGTGGGGGAGGATCAAACACTCCTCTGCAAAGATTTTCAGGAAAATCTGTTGGATACTGCTTTTTATCCATGATATACTTTACAATTCTCTGCAAAAGTTCTTTCCCAAGTCCAAACGGCTTTTCCATCTTTTCCTTGTCATCTTCTTGATGACCATCCAAGTTATCTTCTTCTGTTCCAGTTGATCTAACAGATTTAAAAAGCTGTCTATTAGTCTGAAAAAGGAACCACTTTGCGACATACTTATGTGCACAGGACATCCGTGCATTAACACAGGGACAATGCCAGCTGTTTCTCTGGGCATCATACATAACCATCACCCTTCCCAATCGACTGTAGTAGGACGGTTTGTTCTCCAAGACAGACACATAATGCTTTTTGGGTGGCCCAATTTTAACACCCACAGCAAGTGGTGCACTTTGGTCTGTTGCCTCCTTTAATCGAGCAAGACACATCTCTTTCTTTTTTTCTGTAAACCATCTTTGCTTTACAAGCTCACTCAGTGTGTCCTCCACAAGATGACAGGTGTTTGAGGGAGTTGAGCAAAAGTCAAGTGACCTTAGGTGAGAACATCTAAATGCTTGATGCCCACTCCTACCTGCTACATCATAAAACAAAGAGCAGTCATCCATCTCGCATTCACTTGGACCTCTCAGCTTTTGTTTAACATGAACAGGAACAGGTGGCCCACAGAAATTTTTGGCAACTGCAAAAATGCCATTTCTTGCATCAACACACTGGCTGGTAAGGTGGCGATCTGCACACACGTCAACTTTTTCAGTTCTATGCTTTCTTTGTATGTGTCGTTGTAAATTTTTCAAATATAATGTCACATTACATTTAGGACAGGAAACTTTCTTTTGACTTGATTTATGATGTCTTAGCTCCTGCTCCACCGATGGTAGACCCCAGTGTTTCTGGTTTGTGGTAGAAGACTGGTCAGTTGGCCCAGAAACTATTATAGGCTGCTGGTCCCTCCGCTCACTGGCCATTGCTGAGGGCTGGTCAGTTGGCCCAGAAACTATTATAGGCTGCTGGTCCCTCCGCTCACTGGCCATTGCTGATGGCTGGTCAGTTGGTCCACAGACCATGGTGGGCTGCTGGTCCCTCCGCTCACTGGCCATTGCTGAGGGCTGGTCAGTTGGCCCAGAAACTATTATGGGCTGCTGTCCCCTGCGCTCACTGGCCATTGCTGATGGCTGGTCAGTAGGTCCATGAACCAGAGTGAATGACTTTTCCCCATGGTTATTAGCCAAAGTCCTGGTGGCTCGTCCACCTGCACTCTTATCTGCTGTATGAATAAGCAGGTGTTTTGTGAAGTCAGTCCGACGTATTACTGTTTTGTCACAGTAACAACAGTGGTAGTGCGCTGTTTTGCGACACAAGAGGTGGCATTTATAGATTTTGAAACCTGAAATAAGTTTTAAAAAGTTAATAATTTCAACTTTTGTCAAAAATGATTGGAGATCATACAATCTCCTATTCATAGTGAATATAACAATAATATTTTCGTCAACTTACATCCATGTACCACCACCCAAGATAAATGGGACTGAAGGTGGCCTGTTGCCTGGAAGTTCTCATCAAATTTTATACTGTCCTTAGGACAAAGTGGACAGTGAAATTTTGTGCACTTGAGGCACTGGTATGCCTCAAGAGTGTCCTGCACATCTTTCACTGATAAGTGAACCTAAAACACAATAACACGCGTTTCACATTTATTTCACTGATTGTTTTGAGTAATACATTTTATAAAATAATTATGATATTAAAACAAATGTTTCAATTGCATTACATTACATTGTGGATTACACAGAAAAAAGCATAACTACAATGAAAACAAGTTTTAATAGAATTGCATGCATTGTACAATTAAATTAGGAGTTATAATGTCATTCTAATATCAAATCCATTTACAAAACGTTTAAGACATTTACGTTTTGAAAATCAATGCAGTCCTAAAACGTACAAAAATTACACTGCTACAATACCTTATTATGGTCTTCAGAATCCATAATCTGGAGAGAAAATTGTAGAAATGAAATGCAGAAAAGATCTCGTCATGCACGTTACAGATTTTGTAATTTGCGAGCAACTAAAAAAAAAAAAACAGAAATTCATTTGGATACGCTTTATACCCATATTCTTTACACTCATTTAATCAAGACTAAAAACAGTGTACAAACGACATTATACAATGGTCTTTTCCAGAACTTATAATGCTATTTTTAAAAAAAGAAAAAATGTACAAGCTTACCCCTTCATCTCAACAGCACGCTGACGGCTGACATGTGTAAACCATAGGGTGTAAACGCGGTTTTCTTCTTTGTTTTCTGATTCTGATGGATCGCAACAAAATTTACACATTACTGCCACCAACTGTGGAGCTATTACAACACCGGCGATATTAAAATAAACCAATCAAAATTCTCTAGAAGTTTGTACAGCCCACTTGCGGCAAAAGCTCCACCCACTTGCTGCTAACCCACCCATTTGCAGCTAGCTCCATCCTCCGTTTATACCCAACTCCTGAAACCACGTCCGGGTATGTGTGACGTCAGCGGAAGGTTAAAAGTTGATGATTGGCGACCATCCGCTTGGTTTGTCTGCGTTTTCTCTGGGATTGAAGTGTTTTAGGTTCAATCTAAGCATGGACGCAGTGCAGAAACACAGATCCATGTACAAAGGCACGACACCACCATGGAAAGAAACATACAGGAAGGTAAATGTCATGTTGATTTGCTTTAGCTCTGGGGAATCTCATGAAAGCTTTCGACAGCTACAGTACAGTCATATTATGAAATAAAGAATCACATTGTATTTTGTATACAGAATAATAAATGTTAAATAAAATGGCTAAAAAGGAACAATTACGTTCTGACATTATTTTCATGCCGTTTGTAAAGTTCCTTATGGCGATACATTATTAATATATTTACCAGCCCAGAGCTTCAAATCTCTCAAAAACTTGCCTAACCGAACCACAACACTTCCCCAGACCTTAAGGTATCGATATACATTTGTATCTCAAAAGGTCAAATAAAAATAAACGCACAGACACAGAAATATGTGAATTAGAATGTGAATTTTACATCTAAATTGTTAAAGAATTATATTAAACAAAGTTTAATACAATTTCCCCTGTGATGAAAATATAGTTTTTAATGTTGTTTATGTGGTGTTTTTAATATGCTTTAACACACACCATGTGTAAGTTCATAAGTCGACAGCATTGCTGAGTATTTCCTGCTTAAAACTGCAGTGACCCAAAGACGGTCTCAAAAACACGCTTTGAAATTGCTGGTGTTTCTGACGTCACAAACTGCGGGGCTAATTTGCATATTCATAAAACGTGTTTAAATGTGTACTTTTGGTGATCAAATATGAGTTTTAAGTGGTAAAATTATAGACTTTAACACCATGAGTCTGTTCCCTTGAGAAAGGCTTTAAGATGATCATATAATCTTTGTCTTCCAGCGCTGTGTGGAGCGTCTGAAGAACAGCCGGTCGCGGTTGCTGGAGAAGTTCAGACAGATGGGAGACGATTCGAGCGGATCGAACCGGTCTCTGCTGGTGCAGGAGGTGATGGAGGAGGAGTGGAGCGCGTTACAGTCGGCCAATCACAGGCTCCCGTCGCTGTGGAACGGAGACGGCATCAGAGATGTGCGTATCTGAGACACGCGAACCCTCGTGTCGTTCACACCGGGGTTTTAAACATCACTACGGATATAATGGACTGTCACGACCGTCACACCGTTTGTTTATTTAAATCAAAAACAGTTTATTTAAACATTAAATTAGACTAGAGGTCACCTTGGGGTATTAAGCATGCGTCAAAACCGCCGCCATCTTGGAACAGGGGTCTTTTCAAAGGAATTAGCTAGGTAATGGTGGCGGACACTTTGTGCTGTGTATGATGTTCACACGAATGAAATCTGAACTAGGAAGAATGTTTTTTAAATCAATGAATCAATCATAAATGCATGTCTGACCGTTGGAACGAACCATAAAAACGAGAAAATTGCATTCATGGTGATTTTATTTCCGTTAGACCTTTGTCTACATTGACGCTGATGCAAAAAAGTGGAGGGGCTCACCTGTTCCAAGATGGCTGCTCTATTGACCCATTCATTCTAATGAACTGCCGTAGCCAAGGCGACGTCTAGTGTATATACAGTATATCTATGATCAACTAGCAGGAGAGGTTTCTAAACAGTCCCGCCCATAGATAGCTACATAAAGGCTAGATATCTCATCCGCGCTGCTGGCCAATGGAGGTCGATGTCAGCACCTGGCGGCCATCTTGTCACAGTCAGCTCGCTCACTGGTAACATTGTTTTAATGGTGCATCACCGTAACTTGCTCAATTTTCGACCGATTTTCAAACGGTCTGGTTTGTAATAAACGGCAGCGATGTAGTTATGATACTGCATACGTATGAATAATAAGTGTATAAATAAAATAATCATCCAGAATTATAGCCACGTTAATAACGTTTGTAAGAAACCAAACCGTTTGTAAACCCGTCAAGATTTCAACGAGATGAGAGTATTTCTTACATCAGAAAGCCTGTCTGTGACAAGATGGCCGCCCGTGATGACGATAAACACTCCGCCGTGAGACATCTAGCCTTTATATAGATATCTATGGTCCCGCCCGTCAGCTGCTGTCAGACGGACCGAAAACAAACAGCTCCCCCTTCAGACTGGGGGGAGAGAAACGGAATACCCAAAAAACAATAAATTACTAAACCCATAATCCCTTTTAGGCAGTAAACGAGTTTGGATGCGCGTCAGCACAGAGAGATGAAGAGCTCCGTCTTTACGTGTGTGCTCTTCTTCCTCAGGTTTACGCCGCACAGCAGGAGTTTGACGAACTTTCAGCGTTCGAGGAGATTCAGCAGGAGCTCGTAGCGCAAGGTTTGCTTTTCCTCTTTATATCCGCTCCAGAAAAACCTGAGATTTCACTAATCGTGACGTGATGGAAAACGCATTGGTTAAAAGTGTTAAATCAATTAAGATTATTTAAATATTTTTTATTCAGGAAATATATTAATGGTCATTTTTAAAAAGGTTTCTTCTGGAATAATTGTAGAATTTCTACGGAGGCGTATTGCATTCACTTGAAGAAAAAAAATCTACTCTGATTTTCTGAATTAACAAGTTAATTATCTCAGAATTATGAGAATTTTTCATGGAAAAAAGTTTTTGCTCTGTTTTTCTGAATTAATGAGTTAATTTTTCGTGAGAAATTTTTGCTCTGTTTTTCTGAATTAACGAGTTAATTTTTCATGAGAAAAAGGTTTTGCTCTGTTTTTCTGAATTAATGAGTTAATTTTTCGCTCTGTTTTTCTAAATTAACTGGTTAATTCAGAAAAAACTTTTTTTCTCATGAAAAATTAACTCATAAATTCAGAAAAACAGAGAAACTTTTTTTTCTCATGAAAAATTAACTGTTAATTCAGAAAAACAGAGAATTTTTTTTCTCATGAAAAATTAACTCGTTAATTCAGAAAAACAGAGCAAAAACTTTTTTTCAATAAAATTCTCGTAATTCTAAGATAATTAACTTGTTAATTCAGAAAAACAGAGTAGATTTTTTTTCTTCAAGTAAATGCAATACGCCTCCGTAAATTTCTGACAAATATTGAATTGACAGATTTGATGTAAATGTATTATTAATACTATTGGTATACATGTTTCTATTATTATTGTAAACAATGTATTGCGTTGACTGCAAACACAATTATTTTTTTTAATTAAAATATTTGGTAGTGTAGGGAATGTGTTAAATCCCTAAGGACTATTTCAATGTCTATACTATTAGTATACATGTCTGATTTTTGTTCAATTCATGTTCAATTGTAAACTATATATTGAATTTATTGTAATCACAATGCTGTTGATTGCCATGAGTATAGCAATTGCGGCTGACGTGGCGTTAAATCATATATAAATAAATGTGTGTCGATGTGTGTGTCCTGCAGAGCTCTTGATTCTGGAGCAATATAACAGCAGTGTGCGCCATGAAGAACAGTATTTGGACTCAGTGGTGGAGGAAATGGAGACGACGGGTGGACAGATCATATGTCCCATATGTCATGTGTAAGTGTTTGCTTAAACCACTTTTCCTGCAAAACCCATCTATCTTAACATGTAACTGTGTTCCTCTTTCTCTGCAGGAATAATCTGACAGTAAACGGTCATTTTACATCATGTCCATGTGGCCTTTACGTCAACACGATTGTGAGTACACTTTTAAAGGGGCGATATGTAAGAATGAATCACTTTTTTTGTAATGAAACTTAACCCCTTAACTGTCACCCCCCTTTTTGAGAATGGGGGTTAAAATGCACTATTCACACTTAAATGGTTGTAATTCAAGAATGCTTTGGAATATATACCCAAGTTTGGTCTTGTTTTAAAGAAAACACTCAGCAGATTATTGCTGAAGTGAAAAAGTTATGGAAGTTTAAATTCACAGTAAATCAAATATACTGTACTATATATTATTTATTTTATATATATTTTACAAAATATTTTTTACTATAAAATCAAAGCCATAAATCTAACCAAGTTATGTTCCAAATTTGAAGTTGATATCACAAAAATTGAAGTTCCCATGAGATTGTGTTTAGGCGTAGTACCAAAAATAGCCACCGGGTGCCATTGAATTCCATTGAATTTAGTCGTATACATTCTGCCTTAACAAATTAATACATTTCTGTCCAAATATCAATGTTGTCACAAAATTTGTAACCTTGAGACTCAGACCTTTCTGACTAAACGTGTTTGGTCAAGATTAGAAAAGGTTTTGATCATAAATTATGAAATATAATGATGCCCAAAAGGGGAGTAGCCTGATAATATAAGTACCGTTTCCGGTACCGGGACTGTGACGGTTAAGTGGTTAAAAAACGAGTCCTTCCCCGACTTCATAGTTTGTCTCTGAGAGCCTGTCGACTGATTTTTATGTGAGGTTTTTGTCTGGGAAATCGCAGAGAGCCTCTCTTCTGTTCAACTGACACTAATGCTTATACAATGTTCAGGATAATACTGAAAGAGCCGTTCTGGACTGTAATGTCAATGTGTCGTCAAAGAAAAAAGATTTATTCAAACTACAGTCTCACATAGTCAATCTATAGAGTCTATAGTCTCAAATATGCTCTATAATCAAACAGTAAGTGCTGCTGCAGTTCACTTTACGGCCACCGGTGTCGCTAACAACAAGAGTTTCAATTCTACACC